AGTCAGGAGCACGGCTCTTATATAGTATTAATTAGGGGTTATTTTACATACCCCATAACCACCAAATAAACTAGGGATAAATCCAAGCCCAAATCATCCTTTGACATACCCCCTGGGGACGCGAAAGTACTATACTACCCTTATGTGCAATTTTCGGCCAAACTGCATTCAGCATTTATGGTCCTGCATTTATCATTTTCGCTGATTTATTTATTATTATTATTTTTTTTTTTTTTTCTTATAAATCGGTTTGTTAAATATATATATACATATATTTATATATATATATATATATATATATATATATATATATATATATATATATATATATATATATATATATATATATATATATATATATTTAATTTTTTTTTAAAATAAAAAAAATTATTTTTTTTTTTATTTTTAATTTTTTAATTTTTTATTTTTTTTTAATTTTCAAAACAATATGTTTACAGTACTGAAAATAACTACATGTAACTACCTATAGTAATTCATAGTTATGTTCGTTTTTTCCCCATATTTTTAGTCGATCAATTGTATACACACACGAATACTGACTTGTAAAAAATAAATTCATAAAACCCCAACAAAAATTTACAAATTTAAATATTTTTATTATAAATCACATCAGAACCAATAAAATACAAAACGAAAATACATAAATATACGCATATATAACTACATGTAACTACATGTTACTATAGTAATGTATAGTAATGTATACAGTCTGTTAAACAGATCTGATGTAACTTAAAAAAACAAAAATTTGACACCTTCAAGGAAAGAATCAATGGCCTTCCTTAAGCTGCAATTGCAAAATCAAAACAAAAAAAAATTACTTTAGTGCAAATCAACAAATTTGAATAAAAACATCAAAACACTCAAAAATCACCAAACATTATTAAGAGATCGAGAGATAGAGAGAGAGGTTATTGCTGGGAAATGCAAAAAAATATAGAAATAAATCTGAGAAGATAAAAATAAACGAAATTACCATCAAAATATAGATCCCGACGAGAGGAATCCAACGGTGGATGACCCGTCAAATTTCGACGGGTGGAACACAAAATAAAGCTCCGACAAGACCACCGTCTTCGAATGAAAAAAAATTGTAGAAACAGATCCGCGCTCGAAACTGAATGAAATCACCACCAAAAGAAAGAGCTCGACGAGAGGAATCCAACGGTAGTTAAACCATCGAATTCCGACCACCGGAGAGAGAGTTATGGCTCCGGGAAGCAATTTCGCCGGTGAGAGGTTTGTAGAGGCGGGATTTTGAATCTGGGAGAAGAAGAGAGAAACCGTGAGTGGCTAGGGTTAAAACTGATTTTAGAAGGGTATTATAGGTACTTCAGGGTAGCCCAGGGGGATATGTCAAAATATTTTTGAAATGCGGGGGGTTTCACCTAGAGTGTAATCCACTTGGTAGTTAGTTCTATATAATTTGGAAATGAGGGGTTCTACAAAATAATCCCTATTAATTAATATGTAATATATGTATAATATATATACGTGTGTGTGTGTCAATTTTTTTGTTTAATTAATTAATATATTAACTATAACATTTCTCAGGGTATAATATTTCAAAAGTTAAAAAATATTTATTTAAATATGGGGTCATTAGCAATAAACCCCTCATATAGATAATAAATGGTGATATGTCCATCCCTTAAATCTTTCTTTGTGATAAACCCCTAGAATTTGTATTTCCAATTCTACCCTTATGTCAATTAGCATAATTAGTCTCAATTATTCCTTTTTTCTCTCTTTCCATAACAATAATTTAATTCCTAAAAATTTCCTTTCAAATTCCGAAAAATTTGCTAGCAAATCAAATAAAAAAAAATATGTTTTTTATTTTTTATTATTTTCGGATTTTTTAACCATTTTTTTTATTTTTATTTTTTAAATTTTTTTCTAATAAAAAATATTTTTTTTAGAAAAAAATTTAAAAAATAAAAAAAAAAAAATTTTTATTAGAAAATTGATTAAACAAAATAAAAATAAAAAAAATAAAAAAAAATATATTTAAACAAAAAATTGATTTTTTTTTCCTCGACAGATTTACAACTCCGATTATGACTATAGTTGAATATGGCTATTATGTGACTACGCGATGTATAACAGTGTAATTAACATATTGTAGAAGCATATTTATTAAGATAACAGTAAGAATATGACTATTATGTGAATGTGACTGTGCTTTGTAAAACATTATAATTAACAGACAGTAGAAGCATGATTCTTAACAAAAACAGCGAGAATATGACTATTATGTGAATGTGACTGTACTTTGTAAAACATTATAATTAACGGACAGTAGAAGTATGATTCTTAACAAAAACAACGAGAATATGACTATTATGTGACTACGGTTTGTATAACAGTGACTGAACAGGAAAGTGAGAATATGACTATTATGTGACTAGGTTCTGCGTAATGTGACTACAAGTAATCAGCACTTGAAAAAACTTGAAATATTAATAGCAAAATACATTGCAAAAAGAAAAAAAAAATGACTAAAAAAAACAATAAATAACTAATGTGATCTTTCAACAATGGCCATCGAACATGTTTTTTTTGTTGCGGTATCCAACTCGGTTGCACCGACCGCACTTAATCTTCCGTTTGATCTTGTGTATTAAATATGACTACACTGTTAAATGTTGAACATAGGCAGCACTACAAAAAAAAGGACAAATGTAACTAAGTTGTTAAACATGACTACTCTGTCAAATATGACTACTCTGTAAAATACATTGCACTACAACCGACTAATCTCGTAATTCAATGAGTTTTCCAGATCTAAACATTCAGAATAACACAAAAATTAATAAAATCCAGAATAATTGAAAATCAATGTATGCGTTCATAACAAACAAATAATAGAACTGAAAATCAGATCCATAACATATTCTATTGCTAGTTCGACAATTAATTCGAGAAAAATAAAAAAATAAAATTTACCAATTAATATAGTATATATTGGTAGTCATCGTCGAGAGAAGGGAAATCTCCATGTAGAAATCCGACGGAGGCGGCGACAAGGTGGGGAGGCGCCGCCGCCAGCTGTACCAGGCGTCGATGTGGTGGTGTTCGACGAAGGGGAAACGATCTCCAATATCAGCGGAGGAGGGCCTCCTGCAACGGGTTTCGGCCGGCGGCGGCGATTTACAGATTTGAAGAAGAAGGAAAAAGGAAAAAAGAAAAAAAAGAACTGTGAATTGGAACGGAAAAATCTGTTCAAAATCGGCGAACTTCAAAACACAACAATATTTGTATCATATATGTATATTTTGGAGAAAAAAAAGATTAATAAAAATTGGAAGCATTTTCAAAAATTAAAATCGGATAAAAAAGATTCCCTTGTAATTGATTTTTCTAGAATTTACAGAGAAAAATAATTAAATATTGTTCCAAAATAATTAAAAAAATTGAACAATTAAAATTGGGAGAACATTGAAAAAACACACAGTATGAAGAATGGAAAATTAGAGAGAGAGAGTAAAAAGAAGGGTGAGGGAATAAACGAAAGAAAAGAAGGAATTTGGGAGGAGAATAAAAAGACATAAAATAATAAATAAATAATTGGAATGAAATAGAGAGAGAGAGAACGAGAACTGAAGAAGAAGGAAAAGGAAAAAAAAAAAAAAAAAAAACGAGAACGGAGAGAAAGAGCGAGAGAATGAAAGAGAGAGAAATAAAATTGTATTAGGTTAAAAACCTAACACATATGGGCATTTTAGTCTTATCATGGTTGGTAAGGGGGGTCTCACTAATTTAGATTGAGATATGGGTTATGGGAAAAGTCTTTAAAGTCAATTGGGTTTAGTTCAAAATATTTTCCAAATAAGGGGTGTATTGCATATTTCCCCTTTAAATATATGACAATAACAATTACATCCATAATTGACCGAAACACCGCGAAATAACAGAAAATATAGTTGTGTTCTTTGAAAAGAGGAAAAGACATATAACAAAAGAGAAAAGAAAGATGTAATTTTAATTAGAGATGTATGACTGAAAAATAGGAGATATTGAAAGGATTTTATACGTTTTGATTTGAATTTTGTACTTTTCATAATTAGAAAATTATCCGATAAAACAATATATATAATTACAAAAAATGTCACTAGGACTGCTTATGGTTACGTATCTTTCTTTTATAAATAAAAATTTAATATTTAATTAATATTACTTATTAGCATATACATTCTCAAGATTGTTTTAGCTAGATAAACACACATAAATTAAAATTTAGAGGATTGTGATTCTATTTTCTTTATATTAATTTATGTAGGCCGTAAGGAATCATATGCATACTTTCGAAACACCTTTGTGCCAAGCAAATTATCAAAATGAGTTTCTACGTTGTTCTCAATGTAATAAAGAGCGTAAATTTTGTCTTTGAAGTAAAGAGGCTTACAATGTTTACGAATTGAATCTATTTATTTTATTTATCTATGTATTTCAATATGAGTGAAATAACAAAGAATAAATTTTACATGTTGATTATAAATTCTACACATGTTTGACAATTGCAATCGTCAAACCGACACCAATCACATCCGAAACAAACACATTTCTCGCAACCCCCACATTTTGAATCTCTTGGACAACCTCTACATACTTTTCGACTTCCTCGCTCCTCAGCATCATCGCAAGTTACCCTAGAAAATTGAAAACAAAACAATAACAAATGACCAATGCATGCATGCAAACTAATTCTCAATGAAGTTACGCACGTGCAATTAATTGTTACTGATTGAATGACGATTAAGATCTTTTTTCTTACTTAAGGTCGGATAGTTACTGATTCCCCAATTTTAGACCGAGTGGCTCGCAAACCCATGATGAAATAGGTCCTATATGCAAGGTGCTTACCAATAGGCTACATTCTTTTGTTTAAATTAAGATTCAAACAGTTCTAAGACCATGATTAGCAATTCGCGGCATGTGTATATTTATAAATAAATTAATGTGTAATTTTCATCTTTGTAAGTTAATGCTTACGAGTGGTTTGGCACGTCTGAACATCTCCAGTTATTGTTAGCAAGAGCTTGATGGTAGATCTTGATAGCCTCTTTATTTCGAAGAATAAATCTACGTTCTTTATTACATTGAGAACAGCGTAGAAACTCGTCTCGATGAATTACTTGGCGCAAAGGTCTTTGGAAAGTATGCGTATGGTACTTCAACAGACAAGTCCTCCATAAAGCAATTTTATGCCCATCGTGACTAAACACCCAAATCTGGCTCGTCCAATTGTTATGTGCATTAGTTCTCCCAGCATGTCTCGCAAATTCAATTGGAGATATATTAACTGCAACATATAATTAATTAAAACACATATTAACTCAATGAAGTTATAGGAAGAATAGAATTGGAGAAACAGAGAAATAATAATACGTAATATAATAGAAACTCCCGTTCTGTTATATAGAAAAATAATATGAGGTAATAGAGTTTCACTAGGTAACTAAATCCTAACTAATCTAGGTAACTGAATTATAATAGAATCCTAATATTACAAGAGTTCTATAATATAATATTCTTTAACAGAAGTCACAAAATTAATAGCACGATGCATGCTAAGTAAAAGAAACGTAATTATATCATGAATTTTATTAGTTGACATAAATATATTATTTTATACATCGATAAACTACTATTGTAGAAGGGGATATTGAATTCATGTGCATGTATACCTTTAGGACAATCGTGCGTGCAAGTGCAGTCAATCTCGATTTTTCCTTCAATATAAACTCTGAGTTTTCCAGGTGTGTCGCCATATCTAGGGTTTGTGCAGCCGCAATCGATCTCTAAGAATTCTTGTGTGTTTTGGATGACTCCATGAAATTGGATTAATTCTTCTTCAGTAAACATCTTTGATTCCTTAAAATCTAGAATTATATCAAGAAAATATTAGAATCACAATTCTCTATGCGCCAAGTAATTCCTTATATGTGTTTATCAACATCAAATTTATTGATTTTATGAATTAAAAAAATGAATAAACATCAGGTATATATATAGTCAAACGTATATTTATGTTTATGACGAATCTAACAAATTTTGCACACATGCAAAACAACTCAAAGATGTATGTTTAGTGATGTAAAAAGTGATTTCGTATATAAGAAAATTCAAAGAAGGAAAACAAAAACATACCTTGAATTTCTGAAAATAAATTTATTTGAGTCCTTTTAAGTCTTGCAGTGATTTTATGATTTCACCACCGTGTTTATATTTATAGTAGTAAAGAATGCAATTAATTTTAGGGCGAATGGCAAAAGGCCCATCACATGGGACTTAAATGCATTTTGGCTCATAAAAAAAACAGTCTTTCAATTAAACCCATACCCATATCTGTAGTCTAATATACCCTTAATATGCTCTAACTTCCTTAATATTACACATTGACCCCGGATTTAAACAAATATATCACATTAACTCCCAAAACTTTTTTTTTTCAGAAAATAATTTTTTTTCTGAAATGTTTTTTTGCCGGCCAGATTCCGGCGTTGACTTTTTTTTGTTTTTTTTCCTAAAATTTTTTTTCCGGCCAGTCAACCACCGTTGCCTGCCGGTCTCCGCGTTGACTTTTTTTTTTTTTTTTTTTTTTTTCTTAGAAAAAAAAGTATTTTAATTAATATTACTGTTTTGGCTACTAAATTACTGTTTCAGACAGTAATATTACTGTTTGAGATAGTAATATTATGAATATTATTTTCTCGAACAGTAATATTATTAATATTATTGTCTTAAGACAGTTAAATTACTGTTGGAGACAGTAATTTAGCCTCCAAGACAGTAATATTAATTAAAATATTTTTTTTAAGAAAAAAAAATAAAAAGTCAATTAACAGTTAAATTACTGTCTCCGACAGTTAAATAACTGCTGGAGACAGTAATTTAGCAACGAATACAGTAATATTAATTTAAAATATTTTTTTCAAGAATAAAAAAGTCAATTAACGGTTAAATTACTGTCTCCAACAGTTAAATAACTGTTGGAGACAGTAATTTAGCAACGAATACAGTAATACTAATTAAAATATTTTTGAAGAAAAAAAAAAAGTCATTTAACAGTTAAATCACTGTCTCCGACAGTTAAATAACTGCTGGAGACAGTAATTTAGCAGCCAAGACAGTAATATTAATTAAAATATTTTTTTAAGAAAAAACAAAATTAAAAAAAAAAAGTCAACGCCGGAGACCCGGCGGTCAACGGCAGTTGACTGGCCGGAAAAAAAATTTCAGGAAAAAAAAAAGTTTTTCAAAAAAAAGAAAAAAAAAAGTCAACGCCGGAGACCGGCGGTCTCCTGCGGTCAACACCGGTCAATGGCGGTGGCCGGCGGTCTCCGGTGGTGGCGGGTCAAAATTAAAATTAGGGTTAAAATTGGTTAATTGATGAAATTGGGCTAAATTGGGGTGTAAATCATGAAATTGGGGGTAATTTTGGGATGTATAAAATGATTTTCCTTACTTGCAAATAAGTTTGAATGGGTTGTATTTATTTGAAAGACAAAAAAATTGGATGTCCCTCTTTCAATTAAGTGCCCTTATCATGGGCATATTTGCCACTACCCCTTAATTTTATTTTCTTTTTCAAGATTCTCAATAAATACACAATCATGAAAAATTTAAAACAAAATTAATTATTTTTTCCCATAATAGATTTTAACGGTATAAATAATTTAATGCATAACTTTTTTTAGATATCCTCGTAAGTGACAAAAAGTATAGTTCACATAATTAAGTGAAACAAAGCAACTTCAGGTAATTACGAAAATAACCAACTCCTATTGCATCACCCATCATCAATCTATCGTAATATTAATTTGATAAGACTAGTATCTCACCCATGCGATGATGCACTGTGGTCACCTTCGAGAACAAAACTTCTATTCAATAATTAGGGTCGTAAAGAAAAATATTTCAAAATAAATATAAAACAAATATAATTAAGTTAAGATGTTGGATAAACAAAAAAATCGGCCGCAAAGCAATATATATATTTTTTTTTGATAAACCTTAATGCATAAAATAATCCATTCGACATGTCTTCCAGAATTTCGAAATTTTAAGTTCACAAAACACTCCAAAAATAAGTTTATATTGTTAAATTTTAATTCAAATAGTACATATTATAATCTTGTCATATTTCAAGCATCCAAAAAAAAACTAATTAATCCAAATCATTCTAATAATGTATTGCATTTAATTATTTAAGTAGTTCAAAACACAGTTCCATTTTATTTTTTAGAGATATTAATAAAAGAATAAAAATTAAATACATAATTATAATTTTTTATTAAAAATAGTACTAGTTTTCACCATTTTATATATAATATTCATATATATATATATATATATATATATATATATATATATATATATATATATATATATATGTGTGTGTGTGTGTGTGTGTGTGTAATTTATATAAAATTATGGTGACAAAAAAAAATATTGAAGGGTTAAGAAACATATTTACAAAACAATTGGCGCGGCAAGACTAATATTAAAAAAAAACATTAACTACGAAATAGCTAAATTACAAAGATCCGCCACTGATCATGTATAATTAAACAATATTTACATCATAGTACTTACCAAAAGTGTCTGCAATGAATATGCCAGAAATAAAAAAAATCACATGTAAATATACTTAAACAGAAAAAGGACATACACATATTAGATAAAATATAGTTATAATAAGATAAATAGTCGATGGCATGCATGATCTATACTTTCATATACGCTGAAATACTTCTTTATATGGCATGCATGATCTATACTTTCATATACGCTGAAATACTTCTTTATACACCACGTTGCTTGTAGAAGTCGACAATCCACTGGATTCGAACTTGATTAGGATCTTTATGCCGGATTTACTCTTTACTCTCGAGAGTACGACGCACAACTGACCGTGGTTGAATCCAGATCTGGGTAGATACAAACCAACGTGGGAAAACGTTTGACCGTGACTCTTGTTGATGGTCATTGCGAAGGAAATCATCAATGGAAATTGTTGCCTCTGAAACCCTAATTCACCCAAATTTCATGATTTAAACATTAATTTAGCTCCAATTTCAGTAATTGATCAATTTTGACTCTCAACTCAATTTTGATTGTCACCGCCGGCCTCCAGCTTGATTTTTTTTATAAATAAAAGAATTTGAAATTCTTTTTCGGCCGGTCGCTGTTGTTGACTGTATTTCACTGACATTGACCCTTTTTTTTTTACTTTTTTTTAGAAAACATTTTTTCCAGTCGGTCGCCACCGTTGACCGCCCCTCACTAACGTTGATTTCTTTTTCGTGAAACTTTTATTTGGTCATCGCCGTTTAACACAATAATATTATTCTGAACACAGTAATGTTACTGTATTGGATTGTAATATTGCTCTCTCACACAATAATATTGTTGTTAACACACTAATATTATTGTTTGGTCTGCAATATTACTATCTCAGACAATAATATTGTTGTTAACACATTATTATTACTGTCTTGGCCTGCAATATTATTGTCCCAAGCAATTATATTGTTGTTAACAAACTAACATTGTTGTCTTAGTCTGCAATATTATTGTCTTACGATAGTAAAATTATTGTTAACACTGTAATTTACTAATATTACTGACTCTAACAGTAATACTACTTTTAGCACACTAATATTACAATGTTGGTTGTAAAAAAAATTAAATAAAAAATTAAAAATATTTAATATTACTGTGAACATACTGATATTACTGTGTAAGACAATAAGATTATCGTCTATGTTTACAATAATCTTACTATGTTGACTGGTCAACGACGTGAAAATAAGAGAATTCAAAAAAAATAGAAAAGAAAAAGTCAGCGCTGGAGATCGCCTTAGTGGGTGTAAAAAAGATCAGAGAAAAAAATTATTTTCTAAAAACAAATAAAAAAATTGTGAAAATAATGATTAATGTGGTATATTTGTTAAATTATGGGGTCAATGTGCAATATTTGTTAAGTTGATACTTTATGGATGAAATTAATGTAAATTATATTGTGAGGGACATTTTGGGCAAATAGGCTTCTCTGTATACTGATTTTGCTCATGATACAAATGTAAACAAGTCCTTTTTTTAAGTGTTAGCTTAACCATATTATTTTATTTTCTCCTATTAAGTATCACTCCAGACTCCAGAGTTTGAAAACATTTTTTTTTTGTTTTCCAATGAAAGAGAAATAGATTGTGAAAATCCACAAAAGGGCAATGTAACCAAAAAAAAAAAAATTGCATAAACTCATGATTATTTAATATATATTTTTTTAATTAATGCGTACTATACGTAAACGACACATGAAAAAAAATAACGGAATCAGTATATCTCACACGGCGTAACATCTATAAAAGCGATTTGATGAGCACCCAATTCTTTTAATAATAGCCACGTTGTAGGGGTGAAGTTAGTTATACACACAAATCTTAGCTAACAGCAAGTGATGGAACCCAACCCGAACACTCAAATCAATGCCAAAATTAGAATAAGATCAATTAGCTTTTTGTGTATCAATAAACGGAGTAACTAAATCAAGATCTGGATTTGATTCTTAAGATTCATAAGTCTATTAATTGTACAAGTCACCCAACTTAATGTTAAATTCTCAGCCAATTGCAAAACTAGCTTAGCTCCCAAAACAAAAAAAACAAAAAAACAATGGATGAGTTATATATATTAGCGTTTTTTTGGGTCTCAATTTTGTTAATGTCCATTTTCCGGCACATCAAATTCTTACAAGAAAAAGCTCCTCCATTGCCACCAGGGCCACGTGGACTTCCGATCCTTGGATATTTGCCGTTTCTAAACAGTAAAAACTTAGTAAACGAGTTCACATTTTTGGGGCATAAATACGGTCCAATCTTTAAGCTCGATCTCGGTAACAAACTCTGCGTTGTGATCAGCTCGCCATCTCTTGTGAAAGAAGTTGTCCGTGAAAAAGACGGCGTTTTCTCGCATAGGGATACTCCAATTGCAGCACTAATTGCGTCTTACGGTGGAAACGACATTGTGTTTTCGGAGCGGAATTCACATTGGAGGGCGATGAGAAAGATATTTGTTCAAGAAATGATGAGCAACAAATGTCTCGAGGAATCCTATGATCTTCGTAAAGACCAGGTTAGAAAGGCAATCAGACAGGTCCACAACGA